TTTGTAAAGGTAAAATGCAAGCCCAACTTCTTCATTGGGATATATTGACCCTCAATACTCTTATTACTATGAATCAGAGGGGATCTAATGCTGCACAAGATCTACTGACTCATTTGGGGAAGTGCAGACAGTCTACTGACTCATTTTGGGAAGTGCAGACACTTCAGAAGTAAAAGGTGCTTTCCAAAAAATCAAAGAAAGAGAGAAAAACATCTACAAGAACACCCTAGAGTAAACACAATAATTTTGCTTTAGCATTTTTTTTTCTTTTTTTTTTTTTCCCCTGAGATGCAATGCAAACTGACTTTATTCATCTTAATTGATTTTTGGTGGACAAATTCTTTGTTGAAAATATATTACATTTTTTTTCCCCACACCTGATGCACAATTACTCCCATAAATCTCTGTAGTCATGCATGACTTCCTCTTCTTTCAATTTCTGTATAYTGATCTGCTGTCTTAAGTCTCTTTTCCATCAAAGGACACAAAGGATCAAGAAAAGGGACCAAGCAGGAGATATAGGTGCTTCCAGCTGTAGATGCTAAATCTAAATTTACCAATTGAAAAATCCTTATTCATGGATTGTACAGTGGTAAAGGAGCTTTGTAACCAATTTGGGTTCAATTTGGGATTTCTGAGTTTCTCCATGTACTTAGAGTTAGGTCACTGACTTGTACAGAACTAAAATAGTCTTGGCATGGTTGGGCACCTGCCCTTAATCAGGAGCCAGAGATTAATCACAGRTTCCTTGAATGTACACCAGTGTCCTTTAGAATCAATGAAGAGAACCAGGACCAGGACCACATCTTAGTGCCTCTTTCTTCCCCGTCCTAAAGTAAATGTTTAAAAGAAATCAGATGACTTGCACCCTACAACAAGTATTTTCCTTTATTGTCCCTTATTATTTTTATTATTCTAAAAAGAACATGAAGTTTGTATATATATATATATATATATATTCCAAAAATATAGACATAGAAAGTCAGGTTAATTCAGGCCCTCACATCCCTCAAGGTGTGAAGGACAGCATCAACTAATATTCTCAGAGCAGCACACATACACTGGCAGATTGTTATTTTCTTTTCAAACATGTTATAGAAAGTAGTTTTTTTCTTCTGTTAATAAACCTGCTCTAAGAGTACTTACCTAGCAAGCAAGAACTGACTGATTTGATTTTTATTATTGCATGAACTGTAAGAAGACTGCTAGTTTGTTCCCAGATTGCTATGTCTCCTCCATCTTGTCTTATTGCAAGTAAAATATTGCATTTATTAGGTTTCTATATAAAATGCATAATATATGCATACATTGTGCCCATTTTTTCTTTATTTATTCTTTTGGTACTTTCCTTCTCCTTTTTTTTTTTAAATACTTTATATAAGACAGCAGGCACCTGACTCATCTTGGCCAGTACCATACCAGTTTTTGGTCCATTCTCCAGCTCTGATTCTGTTGCTAGTATCAAACAGGCTTTATTCGCTCTGAAAATGAGAAAAATACTAATTACCATTCCCCTAACCTCTTTTTTTTCTTTCATTTTTTGTTTTCTTTTTTGCTTCTTAGAGTGGTAGGGTGGTTAGCAAGCTCCTTGGAAACACTGGTTATCCCTAGTGACTTCTTAGCGCTCCTTCCACCCCTTCAATTTTCTGTATGTTTGAGTTCCTCAGAGACCAGAGATTCGGAGCGTGTTCAGCCTTGCCCACTGTGTCAGTGTTTTTAGATGCTACTGTCACAGACATGATAAGTGTTACCAATAGCTGGCATATAAAATGTAGTCATTATTCTCCCCATCCAGGTACTGATTCTTTTTTACCTCCTGATGATGTTGTTGCACACTAGTACAGAAAGATTTCATTTTGCTTTCTTTCCTGATAGGAAAAACAAATAATCCACTGTCAGTGGAGAAGAAGATAACTATATCTATGGATTCTGTAAGATGCTTGGGAAGGAAGGGAAGTGGGAAGGGAAGGTAGAGAGCAAGGGCAAAGAGCTGTATATATTTGCATTTGTTGGGAGTCTGATTAGAAAGTCAGTGATAGACAGGAGGAATATCACTGCCATAGTCCCCCCTGTCCATTTTATTTTCTGAGGTTTTAATATTTGATCCAGTTGCTCCAAGCATCTGGCACGATGAATCTAGTGACTCTGGGCTCTGATTTATGGGGAGTCCTTGGGGATGTGCATGCAGAAGCAGCGTGGCATCCAGCACAGCAACGCCTGCACAGCGCCACTTGTTATGCTTGTGTGGGCATCGTCTCCCTCATCTGCTACAGGCTACTTATTAATTTCTCAGTCAGCGACTGTCTCAGGTGCCCAGTGAGAGGTGTCTGCTTTCTGATTCCCTCATCTCACACACAGTCCTTGAGGGAGGTGAGAAACTGCCATGACATCCCAACCAAGCACCTCCCTTCTCCTTAGATCTCTCTGGCRTTTTTTTTTTCCTTCCAGGAGCACCATGCACTAGGATATCATTTCTCCTTTGATCTCGCTTTTCCCTCTTCTACAGACATATCCCTTCTCTGCTTCTCCCAAAATATTTTGTTTTGTTTTTTTGTTTTGTTTTGTTTTGTTTTTACACGTGTCCATCTCTTGTGTTTATCTGTTTCMAGCTTCCTGACCTTGCAGAAATTTCACCAGTCCACTAGTGGGCTGGGGTAGTGTCTTACCTCCATCCTTGCAAATGCCAGAGTAGATGCCCTTGGGGTTAAATAGTGAGGACACACACRCACTAGCACACACACTCTGAATATATCCTCTGCCCTGGGGACTGGCCATAGCCTTGGCGTCAGTTGCTGGAGTAGCCAGAGGAACTGGGGAAGGATCTAAAGCAGCTTCTGGCTGATGGGCTCCCAACAGGCTTGCACTGAATGAGGAAGTGGAGGCTAAAGAGGCCAGGCTGGTAAGCACATTTTGGGTCTCTATCCTTTATCCTCTAGGATGAAAGGAGCAGTCAAGCTGATGGAAAAGAGACAGCAGCAAAGATACAGCGGTGGAGGGGAGGTATGTTAGAAACGTGTCTGTGGCTGCAGCAAGCACCGTCCCTCTTCCCTGTCACCAATGAACTTTACCAAAGGAATCCCAGGTGGACGATGTGCAGGAGAGAGAACACGACACAGCTTAGACATGGAAAAGCCATCACTCTGGGGGCGGATCAAGTGGCAGCTGGGATTTGGGTCACTTAGTCGTTTSATGGGAAAAAAATATAAAGGAAAAAAGGAAAGAAAGATAAAAAGAAAATGACAATATTTTAAGCAGCAATCCAAAGAGAGGGGAAATAGGAGGGAGTGCCAAGCTGTGGAGCAGCAGCAGAGAAAGTCTGTTAATTCTCGAAAATGGATGCACAAGCTAATCCTTCCCTGCAAATACAGCCTGGTAAATGGTCGGACCCAGCAGCCTTTTAAATGCCAGATCAGCTCTTACTTAAATGACATTTTGCTGTATTTATTTATTTATTTATTTATTTACTAAGAATAGCTTTGAATAAAGAGATGATCCCAGTCTGGCTGTTGTGCAGTGATGGTTTGTGGTGGTTGTTTTTTCTTGCAATTGCTGCAGTAGCATCACAGGAGGTGCTGAGTTGCTCGGGGCTCAGACTACCTCGACCCTGCTCCCACACACTGCCACACACCTGCACGTCCCCCACAGCCTGTGCTGAGCTGCGGTGCTCGGCACTGCACCCATGCCCTGCTGCTCCAGGCACCCGCAGTGTGATGCAGCCAGCAGGGTGAGGGGAGAATTTGCTGAGTGTGAATGAGTGTTGGATGTGTAGAGCTGAACATGTGAGGAGGAGGAGAAAAAGGAGCTGGGGGAGAGGAGAGGAGCTTTGGGAAGATGCAGGGATGCTGGAGGAGAAGGTAAAGCTCAAGTTGGCTCTGGGAAAAAAGGGTTGTCTGGGACAGGTGTATGAGTGTGGGGAGACACAAGTGCTGAGGGGCTTGGGGCAGGATGGGGAGCAGGAGAAGGTCCAGAGGGCACCAAGCTTGTGTGCAGAAGGGAGGCAGCCAGGTAAGGGTGGGTCTGTGGGTCTGCAGAACCACTCTGGATGCTACATGAAGAGCTAGGGAACAGCAATGCCTGTGAGTCCAGAGAACCAGGTCGGGCTGGCAGAGCTCCAAGGGATGGAGCCCGGAAGGAAGAAAGAGGTGGCTGCATTTGGCACTTGTCTCAGGGACAAGCAGCAAGGCTGGCACAGGAGGGTGGCAGCCTGCGGGGGACAGACCASACAGTTTGGGCTGTGCTTGGTCAGGAAGCTCCTTGTCTGGCCGTGCCTGGTGCTGTCTCCCGGACGAGAGGTGGAGAGGGCAACCTGCCCTCTCAGTGGAGAGCAGASCCTCCTCTTAGCCTCAGGGGAGGGCGCTTGCACTCCCGCTTTTCCGTCGTCGCCGGGGAGCAGCCGGCAGGGCAAAGGGCTGCCYGGCAGCTTGGTATCCTAGAGGGATCTGTGCCACTTGGTGGCACTAAAAAGTTGCGCGGGAGCCCGGCTCGGTACGGGGAGCGGCGGCAGGGCCGGGGGAGGCGGCGGAGCACCCGGGGGTGGCAGAGCAGGCAGCACCTTCGGGTGGCTGCTGCTGCCCTGGGGCGAGCTCGAGTTTATCCCGCTCTCGGGGGCGATGCGCCCGCTTCGCTGTGAGGCTTTCGCATCCTTGAGGGTACCTGGAGCAGCCTCGGCGCGGGGCGGAGCACAGCGCTACCCCCCCTCCGCCCGTAAATGCAGAGAGGCTGGTGCCGTGCCTGCCTGAGGAGGGAGGGAAGGACATGCTCAACGAGGTGGCTCGAGCTGCAGCAAGTACTTAGGAAGAGCGAGGTGGCGGTGGCAGAGAGCAAAGACCCATCTGTTGTTTCACTGCTTGTTTGTTTATCCCCCGCCCCCACCTCCAGCTCCCTCCCACCCCCACCTTAAAATCCAGGAACCATTCACTCCTCTTGCAAACGAGCGTTGGGCGCAGCWGAGAGCGCAGCGTGTGCGTGGATGCGGTCCCGCGGCGGGGGGTAGGGTCCCCAGCTCTCGGCGCTCGCCTGTGATCAGAAGAAAACAGGATGTGCCCGGAGCTGGAGCAGTGACAGCACGAGCCGACCGAGGCTCACCTGCTGGCGGTCTTTGTAGAGGCATTTGAGGATTATTCAGCTCCGGAAGGTCTGTGCGAGGAAATGCTATCTCTGCAAGTAGGAGGAGGTGCCTACCCCTACCCGCCTTGATTATTGCCACCAAAAGGACTGCTCTGCTCCACGGTTAGAAGAGGTGATTGCTAGCGTGGACAAGGTAATGCTATGGGAGTGGGCAGGGGGGATTTATCTGCCCCAAATTGCCAACACAAACCCTGGGAATGCAGGGAGCACTGTCCTCGGCTCTCTCCCTCCTGCCCTGCTTGCCGGAGGATGAGCAGGGTTTTGCCGGAGGGTGAGCTCGTGGTGGGTCTTACCTCGAGGGCTGCAGGGGCATCGGCAGGTCGGGGCTCCGGCCATTCACCCACTCCCTGGAGCCGGGGATGCACGATGTGGGGGCAGGGGACCATTGGGGCGCTGCACTACCGGGATCGGTGGGTTTTGTGACATAGTCCAGAGATTTGCCCTACTGAGCAGGGAGAATGGAAATGGGATGCATTCATTTTCCAGAGACAGCCAGGCTTAGCTCAGCCATAGACTTTCCTGTGTGACCTTGGGACAAATCACTTTGGCTTTGCTCAGCAAGTCCCGTCTGTTCCTTATTTAATAACCAGACCTAATGTCTCCGTGTGTAACCACGATTCATGAAGGGCTGAGAGGGGCTTTGATAGTCGAGGAGGGAGACAGACACCTAAGCAGCAGTATATGTGTGCACATATACGTACAGCCATATGTTAGAGCAGCACAGGTAGCAGTGCCGGGAGTTAATCTCTCAGCAGCTAATCAGACCCAGCTCTGTCTGCCTAATGTGAGGATATAAAAATGCTCCGACATGACAACTGTGACCACTATGGCATTTTTACCACTGAAGAGATGGCATTTGAGCCTCCGTTAGTGCTTTTCATCTCCTCTTCACCAGCTCCTGGTGCATCCAGGCTACGCGACGGGCGCGCTCAGCACCAGGGACAGCGGCGGCTCCTGCCGGGAAAAGTTCGGGAGTCGCCGGGGCAGCTCCCGACTCCGCTCCCTACCGGTAGCAGCTTCTTCTCCCTGAGGGTTCAGCCTCAACTCCCCAGTCTCCCTTTTTTT